ACTGTATGCATCCCTCCAACCCCCCATGAATGGAGTATTGTGCTTGGTTCTCAACCAGCTGACCTAGTTTCTACTTTACAGATAATTCTCTCTCTTATCCTTGTGGTCAATTAGCTGACTTATGCTGAAGTTCTCTACTTTCCTCTAAACTGGTATAGGTTGCACTTGGTTTCTTATTAGCATGTCTTGAAGGAACTGACAGCTCTCCATAACTTGTTTTTCCCTTAGATTTGCCTCTTATGAAATCTTCCCTACCCATTCTCTGATTTTATTGACATCTGCCTTCAGTGCTGTCAGTCACGCAGCTGGATCAAGTGGCAGAAGTTGACACCGTGTCCTCTGAAGTAGTGATTTTTTGTAAAATGTCATACCTGGCAGTAGACTTTGAGACATGTGTTACACTGCCCTCTACCTACGTGCAAAACTGCCACTCAGCTGAGGAAGGCAGTGACAATTAGTGTGTATTAGCCATTTAGACTGAGGCTGCTGCTCAGAATTTAGCAGGAAGAATGAGGAAAAAAAATGTACCTTCAGAGACACCTTCCATAATGCACTGATAACTGCCCTTATAATGGATCATTCTATGTTGTCAAAAGATCCGTGCTGATGAAATATTTAGAATACAAATTCCTTGTGATCATAAATAATGCAGACTAAGGTATGAAATGATTCCTGCTCAAATTTGTTCACTGAAAATGTAGCACATTATGCAGCTGTTTCGTGGTGGAATGGGCAGACAGTGAGACAGTAAGTGGGAGAGGAAGGTAAAAAAAAAGCTTCACCTTAAGGAACAGTGACAGAAGCTCTTACTGACATCTAATGCAAAGCCAGTAAGACTTCAGGTCCTACTAAAATCCTCTTATATTCATTAACATTTGTCGAGGCCACTGTAGATGGACCTCATGGACCCTCACATAGGGCAACTAGAGATGGTCAAGAAGTCAGGCCAAGCCTAGGGCAGGAAGGCAGAAAAGCCTTCTTGCTATGCAGTTATTTTTACTGACAAGATTACAATGCAAGTTTCTTTACTATCACTTCAAGTCATTGGATTTCCTAAACAATGAAAATGAATTACCAGTAACCAATCCCAGCTATTGTAAATGTTTATGATAGGTGTAAACTAATAAAAATTGGGACATCATACTGGCAATGTGGTGTTGGAAGACAAGGGAGCAAACTTTGCCTATTATCAGAATAACGGTAATGGTTCAGAGAAGTCCAGATTGTTAAATCACTCCAAGTTACGTCCTGCAGGGAACCAATGCGCAGTGTCAATACGCTATCTAGTGGCTGCATCGATTATGACATTATTCCTGAATTTATGTCCTGGTGAATTGTAATGCTCAAAAATACTTTAGTCTAAATCAGGATTTGTCAGTCTGTAACCATTCCTTAGCGAATCTAACAGATTTTTGAGGTTATAGGTGATTCATTACAAATCATAATAATAATTAAAAAAATATTAAAATTTACATGAAGATGCAGACAAAACTGTTGTTGGGAAGTTCTAGGCAGTCATTCTTGACATTACCAATATTTTGACAGGCACTGGACGAGCAGTTCAGATTTTTCTCCATATATAGACTATGTTCTAGATCAACTAATAAAAAACCCACTCAGTTAAGGAGTGCTTCAAGACCATGTCAAAGTATTTTATTTACCTGCTAGATTAATCAGTTATTTTGTAAGGTACAAGCAGATAATATAGACACTTTAAACTGGGCACATAGTATGCAGTGATGCAAGGCCAGATGTATTCTCCTCTGAAGGGGAAAACTAATCCTCATCCCTTGAGATAATAGACTAGAAAGAGGTGAAGATCACATGGAACAGCATTCTCCCAGTTACCTGTTTCTGCCATGGCTGTGATTGACCTTCAGTACATCATACACCCCTTCTTCTTTATTTATCTTATCTGTGAAATGGAGATAGCACTGTTCTATGGAAGCTAAAACAGCTTTATAGTTGATGAATACTTCTATTTTAAAGGTCGTATTTTCTATCTTATAAATATGAAATAGGAAATACTATACGTATGTGACCTGTACCAGCATATTTATGGTACTGTGTGAGCTGCAGCTAGCACACAAATTATGTTTAATGAATAAATAAATATGTTTGACTCACCATTCCTCTCAGGAATTTTTCACTGTTCTACCTTAATAACTGAGAAAGCTCCCTAGACAGCTGTTAGACCATTTATCTTTAAGTGCACTTAAATTCAGTATGTGTATTTGTTTTAGGAGGTTGAGTAAAGACATGATGATGTAGATTTCAGGTCAGGTAGCATTTCTTGAACTGTTCTTTCCAGGAAAGCAGAAATTTTGTTTCAATCTTTCTTCATGCATCATGAAATCAAAGGTGCCAATTCTGTTCTCCATTTTTTGTAAATAATTTTTCTATTTATGCATACTTCTGAACCATTACAAACAATTTAAAAATAGCTGGTGGACAATGTTCACATTACCTGTGTTTATCCTAATTATTTCTGATATAAATCTTTTGTGGTGCTTGTCTTTTGCTATATACAGTAGTAGTTAATAAATGTATGTCCCTGTGAGTGGTTGCTGGACTAAGTTTACAGACTGTACAACTTGGTAAGGATAAGCAACAGGCTGGGGGAAGAATGGCTAGAAAGCAGTCCCAAGGAAAAGGACTTGGGGTGGTAGTAGTTGAGAAGCTTGACATGAGCCACTAGTGTGTGCTGGAGCCCAGAAAGCAACTGCATCCTGGGCTGCATCAAAAGAAGTGTGGCCAGCAGGGCCAGGGAGGGGATTCTGCCACTCTACTCTGCTCTGATAAGACCCCACCTGGAGTCTTGTGTACAGGTCTAGAGCCTTCAGCACAGGAAAGACATGGAGCTGTTAGAGAGGGTCCAGAGAAGGTCCATGAAGATGATCAAAGGCCTGGAGCACCTCTGTTATGAAGACAGGCTGAGAGAATTGGGGCTGTTCAGCCTGGAGAAGAGAAGGCTCTGGGGAGACCTTATAGTCACCTTCGAGTACATGAAGGGGGTTACAGGAAAGCTAGGGAGGGGCTTTTCACCAGAGTATGTAGCGATAGGACAAGGATAATGGTTTTTAAACTGAAAGAGAGGCAATTTAGGCTAGACATCAGGAGCAAATTATTCACCATGAGGGTAGTGAGGCACTGGAATAGGTTGCCCAGGGAGGTTGTGGAAGCCCCCTCCTTGGAAGTGTTCAGGGCTGGGTTGGATGAGGCTTTGTGCAGCCTGGTCTGGTGTGAGGTGTCCCTGCTTGTAGCAGGAGGGTTGAAACCTGATGATCTTTAAGGTCCCTTCCAACCTTAACCATTCTATAGTTCTATGATGAGAAAACCATAATTTTTAAGAGCAGTGCATAAAAGCTGGTTCGTTGGTCTTTCACCTTCAAATCTCAAATAAATCCAAAACTCAGAAGTTTATGCAGAAACATACAGGAGCTGACGGATCTACGGGCAACCTCCTTTATGTTCTCAAAGCCGAGGAGCTTTACCTCTTCTCCCTCCTACCTGCAAGCATTTTCTATTCTTTCTCCTGATGCAACATCCACTCCAGATGAACTACCCTCCAAAGAGATAATTAAAAAATCCTTTAACTGAAAGAAGAACTTTCTTTTCACACGACTGCTAGTAATGGAGACAGGCTTAAAAATGCATTAGAAAATCAGGTACATTTCTCACAAGGATGTCCAGCTTTGTGTGTCTAGCTCCAGGGTGCACAAACCCCAACTCATTATTATTGCTTGCACAACCCTGGCCACAAAGGTATCAAAGTAATTAGTATTAAAAAAAAGTCCGACACTCAGGATTCATTGCACAAACATTTAAACAGAGGAAATAATTTCTTTCACAAATGTGTTTCTCTTGTATAAGAATAATTTTTTACAGAAAATAGCTCTTTATACATTTTACAGGAATATGCTAACATTTAGATTCTCTATTCATGGATAATGATTGAATACAATTTGAATACAATTGAATACAATTTAATATTTCAATTGTCTCATAGTCAACAAACATTGATAATACAGCAATACATCACTTCTCTAGTATTCTTAAACTGCTTGACTTACCAAGTATTGAGTCAAGACAGTGATAACATTCCTAGAACCATGTTAATTTGCAAACATTCAAGTAGCTTGAAACTGTCAGGTATGAAATATCTGCTGAAAGTAACACAATAATTTAAGTGTTAAGGAATATTAATTTAGGCAGCATTACTTGCTCACTTAAGATTATCCTGCTGGTTAATACTGTTAAAACCAAATTGAACAGAAGCTTTTATATTAAACTGGTTTACTGTTAACATGACCTTCCAAATAGAGATAGCAGAAGCTACTCTAGTAAATGCTATACAGCATTAAGACAACATAAAAATGTTAATAATACTTTTATTTTCTTAAGAAAACACCATGGAAGGCAGGGAAAAAAAAAAACAAATCTGTGAAGGCCAAGAAGAAATTGAAAAAACGTGTGTATGTGTATGTAAAATGTTAGGGAATGCTAGGAAGTACATTTATTTAAAAATACTCAATTTCTTCAAAGACCTTGTTAAAGTCCATATGATACCATGCAGACCTCGAACATAAAGCACATTCAAATGCTTCTCCTCTACAATTACTCTTTCAAGCACCTGTACTTGTATGCAGATTTCCTTTGAAATTAGTGGTAAGGTAAGGACATTTATCCTTGAAATACAATTATATGCAATAATATTTTCTTACTTTCTAGGTATTTTATAAGTTTAAATAGATGACGTAAGTAAAGTAGTACTATATAACCGAATGACAGAAAACCTGAAATTTAGATTGTGTCTGATCTATTTAGTATTCATATACAGCTACTGAAGGGTTTGCCCAGCTGTACCCTATGGGAATACTGTTGATGTTTCCATGCTTCAAGACTCAAATGTGTGGATATGTCTAGTCAAACGTGGCTCTCACCCTGAGTTAGCCAGTCCCTTAACACATACGACTTTGAAATAAATGCACCTGGAACTTGTACACCTCTCCTTCTTACAGCACAAGAGGTGGGTATGAGACAGTAATGTATCACATTATGTTGGTTCACATTTCCATGTAGTTAGAAGGAGAAACAAACCCCCTGCCAAACCTTATTCCAGTGATTTTGCAAATTCTGCATAGTCAATGTATCCGTCATTGTTCTTATCATCATCTCTTAAGACATCATCTATTAGACTAATGAGCTCTTCTTCTTTCATTGCCTGGGGATGCTCACCACCTTCCTATGAAAACAAAAACACATTAAGAGTTTACCAGTGTTTCCCCATATAGTGACACATATGACAGGTTACTGACAAATTTTTTATTATCTTGTGTTAACATTCATGTGTGGTGCCTAACTTGGCACCAGGCTTTACACAATCATTTATACCAACATAAGCAAGTTTTACTAGGTGCAAGCTAGGAAGTCCAAGTCCTCTGGACTTCAGAACAACCACTCTTTATCCAGGCAATATTCTTAGCCAAAGGTTCTAAAAGCTGAATAGCACTGGATAATAACCTAAAATGTATTCGTTAATACAGATTTTGATGTAGTATAGACAGTCTAGTTTCTATACAGAACAAAAACACTTTGGTGTCTGTCAGAACTTGCAAAATGCAGAGTGTGACAGTAATAGTGAAAAAATCAAGCACTGTAGCTTAAAGTCAGTAAAATTGTCAGTATCACCCCTTACAAGCAGAGGGGAATACAAAGAGGTGCATTTGCACAAGAAACAAGTAATTATTCTGGTCTCAGCTAGATATTTTTTGCCATAGGTGTTAGCCAGGAGTTATAGTATTCTGAATTGTAACTTCAGGAAGGTGAGTACAAGAGAATGTCTTAGTATTGTCTTCCTACTGATTCTATCTCCCTACTTTGTCCTTAAGTGTTCCTAGCTGGAAAGAGCATTTGTGTTTAGGAAAAGGCAGAACATAACTGGTTTGTCTAATACTAATTTTGTGCCAGAAGTCTCTTACAGTTTATGTATCCACGGCAGTAAAACTTTGAAGTTGAAAACAGTGGCCTTAGAACCTCAAACAGCTGTTTTATATATATATGTATATCGCATGCTGTTTCTAGAAACCCTCATCAGCATTATCTCATTTTGGATAACGGCCCTTTCTCCCCATCCCTGCCTACAAAGGATCCCCTTCGTCAAGTAATTTTCACTGTACAGTCCTTACTCTAAAGTTTAAAGTACAGTGGAGACTTCTTGAAAACTGCAACGTGACACGAAAAGCTGTGATGATGCTAGCACACTTAGAAATCAAAACTATCAGGGGCAAAAAATAACCCCATTTTCAAGCGAGACTGTAACTGAACTTAAGGTGTGTTGCAACTGTTCTCCTCTGCTTTTAGAGAGTCAGACCTGTTTCCAAACTCATGTGCTGTTACGAAATTCCACCAACCTCTTTGTGGACGTGTGAAATAGCAGTAGCAAGCTCCAACCCATCTAGCAAGTTATTGCCATCATAATCGTGCATTTTGAAGTAATGAAGCTGCAACTCTTGAGGAGACATCTCAGATTCCGGTTTCTCAATAACTCCTTCCAAGTGTTCCATGATGTGGCTAAAAATCAATAAAGAAAGAAAACACACACCATATCAGCTTATATTTCATGTTCTGTTTACATCAAATTCAGTCTTTGATCAGACAGCCAAGTGCACAGAAAATACTGTATCTCTAAAAGCACCCTGGGTAACCGTAAGTTTTTGTTTTATACTAAGATAAAGGCAGTGCAAAGGCTGGTTAGTTGTAGGTGCTGCAGTGGTCTCTATTGTGTTATATAGCTATTTGTCTTTCTTCTGGCCTGCTTAGCGGGTTATGAAAACAACAGGAGCAATGCCCAAATTTTCCCTCTGGCTGTCTTCCAAAGCACAGGAACCGAAGGAAGATTTTTCCCAGCCAAACACAAAACAATCTAGGGAGTTTTATTTGCTGCCATCATAGTTTTGTCTGTATGAACAAGCAAATGAGAAAAACCCTTCTCATTCTACCTGTTCAGAATATGATTTTGTCTAAAGTCTGTTGATCTAGGTAAGCAGGATTACTGTAAGAAATTCTTTATAGTATGAGTTAGGGCTAAAGGCTTCAGAGAGACCTTGCTAGGTCTAGGATCTCTAGAAACTTACTAAGCATGCACATCCCATATCTGACTCCAGCTAGTCATACAAACATCCTGAGAAAAGTGTGCCCTAGGCTTAAGTCCAACTCACGTAACAAGACTTAAGAGATAAGCAAATCGTTAAGGAATAAAGTTAACATTTTTAGAACACGTACTCTTTATCTTGTACCAAGTTCTTATCAAGGCGAATATTTGCATGTTGACTCTCTCCTACATGTTCCTCGGTTAAGGCAGAGGTGGAGAATGCAGCCAGAAAGCAGAACAGCAGATGTGTTCTAAAAATCCTTTGGGCCACCATGGTCTGCTACAAAAGGAAAAACATTCCCCCCACCCCCCAAAACAAACACATGAAAAATGAAATCTACTTTCAGCAGATTTTGCAGAGTGCTTAGATAACCCCACAAAGTTATAGAATAAAGGGACTTGCTTCATTTCAACTTAGCAAGCAGAAAGCCAGGCAGCTCCGACTCAGAATTTCTCTGAGCGTCTCCATTCCAAAGCAACACGCGGCGACTTTCAGAGCATTACTTCTCTCTCATGCAGCGAGCACGCAATGCCGGCTCCTCACTGAGCCTCCAGACATCCATCCTACCGTGCCGGCTTCCCCCAGACCTGCCCCGCCGCTGCGGGAGCAGAGGTCGCACCATCAGCCCTGCCCTCCGTCAGGCGCAGCTCC